AAAGCCCCAACCTCTAACCCCCTCTCCAACCGCCTAAACCCTAACCCCTGAACCCTCTCCCCTGTCCCCCAAACCCTCCCCCCCAAACCCTAAACCCTAAACCCTAAACCCTCACCATTCGGGTGCCACATGTCCTGCTCGAAAATCATCTCCGGGGGGCTGTTGGGGAAGTCCTGGGGGAAACGCAGAGAAGCCCCGAAAATGCCGCCCTCGTAAAAAGTGTCTGGAGGGCCTTCGAAGCAAACGCGCCAGCTGAAGAAGTTGGAGTCGTCGTCGAGGCCCACGGAGCAGCCGCTGGGGGCGTCGCGGGAGAGTTCTACGCGCAAACCCTAAACCCTAAACCCTAAACCCTAAACCCTAAACCCTACTCTCCCCCTGCCCCGCCTCCCTACAACGCGCCAGCTGAAGAAGTTGGAGTCGTCGTCGAGGCCCACGGAGCAGCCGCTGGGGGCGTCGCGGGAGAGTTCTACGCGCAAACCCTAAACCCTAAACCCTAAACCCTAAACCCTAAACCCTACTCTCCCCCTGCCCCGCCTCCCTACAACGCGCCAGCTGAAGAAGTTGGAGTCGTCGTCGAGGCCCACGGAGCAGCCGCTGGGGGCGTCGCGGGAGAGTTCTACGCGCAAACCCTAAACCCTAAACCCTAAACCCTAAACCCTAAACCCTACTCTCCCCCTGCCCCGCCTCCCTACAACGCGCCAGCTGAAGAAGTTGGAGTCGTCGTCGAGGCCCACGGAGCAGCCGCTGGGGGCAAACCCTAAACCCTAAACCCTAAAGCCTAAACCCTAGCGGGGCGCTAAGCGCTAAAGCCTACGTTCAAAAGTCCAGTGAGCCCTTAACTTTAAACCCTTGAACCTAAACCCTAAGCCCTAAACCCTAAACCCTAAACCCTGAGGAGTAAGCGGGGGAGCCGACAGAGTTTTCTGGACTGAATGAAGTGTACGCACAGTTTCATGCAAAGGGCAAACCCTAGGCCTGAAACCCTAGACCCTAAACCCTAAACCCCAAACCCTAAACTCTGAACCCTAATCTTGAATGACACAGGAGTACGAGGAGTGTTCAACTGACTCATTACCTTTTGCAGCAGCTGCAGCAGCAGCTGCTGCAGCTGCTGCAGCAGCAGCAGCTGCTACAGTGGCGCGAAAACGGCAGCAGCGTCAGCAGCAAATAGAATGCAGATTGCCGGAGCTCCGGTAGACTGGCAAACGGTTTAGGGTTTAGGGTGTAGGGTTTAGGGGTTGAGGGTTTAGGGTTTGAGGGCTGAGGGTTTGGGGCTCACCGATGAACTGCTTCTTTAAAAGCTCTCGGGCAACGTTCGTCATCTCTAAAAAGCGGAATGGAAAGAGGGCAAAGACACCAGGTAACTTGCTGCTGCAGTTGCTGCTGCAGCTCTTTCTGCTGCTGCTGCTGCTGCAGCTGCTGCTGTAGACCAGCTGCTGCAGCTGCTAGCAGCCTATAGGAATGCCTGAGGGTCTAAGGAGGAAGCCAGAGCCACTACTGATGCCGGCTTCCGCCAAGGCAGCAACGAACAGCAGCAGCAACAGCAGCAGCAGCGGCAGCAGCAGCAGCAGCAGCAACGGCAGCGGCGGCAGCGGGCTGGGCTACAGCTCCAGCAGCAAGTACTGCAGCAGCACAAATACAGTCGTGGGGTTTATAATATTGCAAGCCGTCGGTGTATGGAGCCACAGCAGCAGCCGCGTGCCGTTCACGCGCCGCATGCAGCAGCAGCAGCAGCAGCAGCAGCAGCAAGGCGGGGGCTGCAGCAAGCTAGAAACGGCCCTTGGTGTTTACAAAGACGCGAAATGCTAAATGAAGAGACAAATGAGTCATCGAAATGAATTACTGCAGCAGAATTCAGACCTCTGCAGCAGCAGCTGCAGCCGCTGCTGCTGCTGCTGCTGCTTCTGGAACGACAGCTGCAGCAGCAGGTGCAGCAGCTAAGGGCTTCCGCTGCTCACATATATTTCGGCTTGTCTTTACAACAATAATATTTATTTTAATTTAATTTAATTTCTTTTTGTTAATTAGAGCACCCCGCGCCTACAGAGTCGCCTTGCCTTCCTGCTGTTGCTGCTGCTGCTGCTGCTGCTGCTGCTGCTGCTGCTCCAATAGCAACTCCTGCTGCTGCACGCGATCTCGCATGCTGCCCCTCAATAATGTGGAATACGCCTCTAATTTTTGCCTACCAACCCCAGATTCTAATCCGTAAACCCTAAACCCTAAACCCTAAACCCTAGGTAAAGCGGAAACGACACGGGGCTGCCAAAATATAAAGCCACCTGGGAAACCCTTGCTGCAACAGAAACGCTAGGGTTTAGGGTTTTAGCAGCGCACAAGTAGCAGCTAACTGAAGATCCTACCTGCTTTTCCTATACCTAAGCAGCAGCAGCAGCAGCAGCAGCAGCAGCAGCACCAGCAGCAACCGGAGTATCATGAACGACGGAAGCGGCGATAGCAGCAGCAGCAGCAACAGCCGTAACAGCAATAGCAGCAGTAGCAATAGCGGCAGCAGCAGCAGCGGGTACAGCAGCAGGAAATGCAGCTGCTGCTGAATCAACAGCAACCGCAGCAGCAGCAGCAGCAGCAGGTTCTGCAGCAGGAGAAATGAAAAGGAAAGTTTAAAGCAGCTGTTGAGTTTCGGTAGAACAACTGCATGCAAAGATGCATGCGAGCACCCCTGCAAATTAAAATTAGAATAATTAATTAATTAAATTAGAATTAAATTAAAGAATTAATTAATCTACTTAATTTACACGCCACGCGCTGCTGCGTGCATGCATGCACACAAAAGGGCTTTTTAAATGCAACAAAAGAAACAAATACTCCACCAAACGCATGCATTTATAGGAGATTAAAACGGAGGTCTAAGGGAATTCATAATGTCCCTTTTTGAACATTAAAAGGAACAAAATTACTTTTAATTTGGAATTTGCAAAACAAGTTCGCCAGACACCGCGCAGCGCGAGGTGTACGTACACCCGGCGGGCGCGCCGCAGGGACGGCCGCCGGGTGTACGTACACCTCATTTTGGGGCTTTTTTTGCTTTCGACTTCGCCGGAAAGCTCTTCTTTTGCTGCTCCTCAAGCGCATGCATTTAAATGGATTAAAGCTGCCATTAAGCTGCCATTTCCCCTCAAAAAAGAAGAAACAAAACGCAAAAACTCGCCAAAATGCGTTTTCTCAAAAACCTGCGCTCTTCGCGTCTTTGCAAAAAAGAATTTCGAACTTTCACTCCAAGCAGTAACTCACTTATGCATTTCTTTTCTTTTACTCGTCCATATTGGACAATACATTTTTCCTTTTACATATATATATTGGATAATATATTAGTTTTCTTACATATATATATACGTATATATATGTATTATATATGCGAAATGAATCGCATAAATAAATATATATATATACATATATATATATATTGGAAATATATTATTTGAATATATATATTTTGTGTAGTGTATTATTTATTTATGGGCCCGTGTGTCTATTGTGGAATATATAAGTGTATTTTACACATATATAGATATGTATATTTGCTGCACAAAGAAGTGTCTTATGTTGGTGTAAATGTGTGTTCTATTCGTGTTTAAATGCATAAAGTAAATACAATTACCTCATAAATACTTTACGCATGCAAGAGATATAAAATAAATTTATATTTCATAAACAAGCGCTGCGTGCGTGTGTGCGCGGTGCAGTGTACGTACACCTGGAGGCACGAAGCCCCGGCCGGACAGGAGCTGATAAATGGATGCAGAACTGATAAATAAATGAATAAATAAATAACAATAAATCAATAAATAATAAATGATAAGTGATAAATAAACACGATTAAATACGCTGTAGGCAGAACAGCTGCTGCGAAACTGTACAGAATACGGCTGAGACAAGTGGGCCAAAGAAGCACCTCTAGAGCGCCTCTTCGATTTATTTGGATTTATTTAAATTTCCACAAGATTGATTTCCTTTTAATCCTTTTCAAAATACAATTTAAGAGTCTTTTTCGAAAGAAAAGAAGAAAAGACTAAGCGCAAGCGCGCGGGCCGTGCATGCGCACTTGGGGTGTACGTACACCTGAACTGAGCGACATAAAATATAATATAATAAATATATTATAAGACTTTTGGACTTTCTTTTGCTGCTTCTACTTCAAGAAAAACCAAACAAACGAAGCTTAATTGCTTTTTAATCAGTCTAAATGCATTTATTTAATTCCATTTTCATTTTTTCAAACAAACCGCCAAAACCTCAACAGACACTCTAACAGCGCAGCACCCAAAGCAGCTTTATGCATGCATGCAGCGCCCGTCGGGTGTACGTACACCGCGTCGCAAGCGAGTCACTTGAGCATTTGGGCTTTCACAACTCAGCATTTATTATTTCATTTTATTTATATTTATATAAATCGATTATGTTTATATAAATATTCTTTTTCGGATTTCTTTTATTTCCAATTGCCACAGTGCGAACTGCATGCATTCCAAACATTTCAAAAAGGACTTTTCGACGCATTTGCCATAATTCGGTAAATTGAATTGTTTTATTTCAATTCGATTTATTTATTTATTTATTCATCTGTTTATTATTGATTTATTTGTTCATTTGTTTATTTATTTTCCTTTTTCTGTTTCATTTGCATGCAAAAAACGCCTCCAGCTGCTGCAAAACGGACGCAAGTGTATACCCCACACTGGCAATTAAATTTAATTGAAATCGAATTTAAACTTTTAATTTTAAATTTATAAATAAATCCATTTACAAGAAACCCCACACGCCTCTGCATGCATGCGCGCCGCTCCTTTCGACTGTCTTAGACACCCGAACGCATGCAAGCGAGCCGCTGCTGCCGGTGCTGCAGCCGCTGCTGCTGCTGCTGCTGCTGCTGCTGCAAATAAGAGCTTTCGGGGCAGAAACCAAACAACTAACAAAGGAGAATACAACTATAAATGAATTATTTATTTATTTGTTTTCTAAACCATTTTATTCTATCTTTTCGAGCAATTCACGAAACAGACGAACAGACAGGGGAAATGCAGCAGCAACACGCCAGCTGCTCAAACCATAAACCCTAAACCCTAAACCCTAATTTCGGGTTTAGGTCTTTGCCTTCGTACGCGTCACGCGATGGCATCTCTGCGCGCACCCGCAGCAGCAGCAGCAAACCAGCAGCAGCAAATCAGCAGCAGTAAAAACAAACAAATGAAGTGAGATTTGCTGCTGCTGAAGAACGACCTGCAGCACGCAACTTAGGTGTACATACACCCCAATTTCATTGTCTACTCACTTGACTAAATTAAAGTGCCTTTCCGCCGGTGTTTCTGGCTTCACTGTTGCAGCTGCTGCAGCTGCTGCTGCTGCTGCTTCGGCCTGCGCAGCATCAGCTGTTGCTGCTGCTGCTGCCCCTGCAGCAGCAGCGTCCGGGTTTGCCTCTTCCTGCAACGTCTCCGCGGTGGGTTCGTCCCTCACGAGCTGCTGCTGCTGCTGCTGTTCCTGCTCCTGCTGTTGCTGTTGCTGCTGCTGCTGCTGCTGTTGTTGTTGCTGCTGCAGCCCCGCCTCCTGCTGGTTCTCGACGAGTTGCGCTCTGGCGCCGGCCGCGCTGCCGCCCGCCTGCTGCTGCTGCTGCTGCTGCTGCTGCTGCTGGGAGCCCGCCCAAGTGGCGCTTTTTCTCGAAACTCGAAGTCCAAATGAAAACAAACCCCACTGATAAGCCGAAAACCACAACTCTTCTACTGTG